CCATCCATCCATCCATCCATCCATCCATCCATCCATCCATCCATTCATTCATTCATTCATTCATTCATCCATTCATGCAACCATTAATATGTTCATTCATTCATTCATCCTTTTTTGCCCAAATTAAAAATCATGAAGCAAATAGTTTTTTCAGTTGCAGTACCACGGTCGTCCACTAGTATCCACATTTTCCATCTTCCATCATTAAAACACTTGATGTTTCAACCTTTAAACACTCTGGTTTAGTTGTGTCTGTATACACTGCACAGTATGAATTAAAACAACTGCTAAAGTTTGTATTTTAATCAGTCGGCTAGGTCAAATACCTTTAACTATCAAAACAAAATAAAACGATTTGAGGAAAACCCTCTTTTGTCTGTCCAACCAGACACATTCAAACACATTTCTTCCCTTTGAAGTTTGTGATTTCAGTCCAAACAAAATCAGGCACAACCTGATTGTGGATCCAGGCAGCTGCAGTCTGGACCTGCTGATACAGTAAATCAACTGGTGTTGCACACTTGATATGCAATGTTGCCATGTGGAGTTGATTTGGTGGAGGAGGGAACATAAACATGCAGGAGTGAGTAATATAGAGGGAACAGTTGTTGGAGGCAGAGAAAACTATTTTCCATTCTTAAACGGCCTCATGAACTGAGTGGAGACGCTGCAAACCTGCAGTGCAACAAGTCACACAGCAGTTAACAGTTGTGTTTCACACCACAAGTCTGTCATGGAAGTTTCTGAAGACCACTGGCAACAAAATGAACGTTGATTAAAAGATGCATCCCACACACTACTGGTACAACAGTACAAAGAAAAACAGGTCTTTTTCTTTTCTTTGCAGAAGAATATGAATTTTATAAATTAAAGAGTCAAGCATGAGAGGGAAAACTCCAGATCTTGGGCCCCTGAAGCTGCAGTTGCTGGCCTACAATGAGGCAGTTGTCCAATTTAAAGAAGCAGATAAATGAAGCTTGGCCTGATCGAGGTGCTGCTGCAATGTGGGAACAATTAGTCTGAAGGAGGAACTAAATGCAGCACGCTCACAGACACACAGTGTTTAGTCATTCAGTTTCTAAACTACAACCTATAACAGCAGGTTTCAACACAAACTGTGTGTGTTTGACAGGATAAAATGAAAGAACTGCAGTCAACAAGTAGACGTAGTTTTTCAGATTTTTGTTAAATAGATAACATAAAACTCAGGAGCTTGTCTTAATCATGATGAAGAACMATATACTCGAATATTAAAACACTAAGCAATGATTAAACTCAAAGTAATCTCAAATCTGAACATAAAACAAGTGTTAACTAATGTGCTGCAAAAATCATAAATAAGTATGCAATACAAACTATATAATG